GTGTCCAGAGTGTGTCCCTCCTGCTGGGTTAAACTCAGCCTGTTTCACACAGCTGGGCGCTGACCAGCCTCGTGCCCAGAGTGTGTCCCTCCTGCCGGGTTAAACCCAGCCTGTTTCACACAGCTGGGCGCTGACCAGCCTCGTGTCCAGAGTGTGTCCCTCCTGCCGGGTTAAACTCAGCCTGTTTCACACAGCTGGGCGCTGACCAGCCTCGTGTCCAGAGTGTGTCCCTCCTGCCGGGTTAAACCCTGCCGGGTGAGATGAGGCAGCTCGTCGGAATGAAGAAAAACACCGAGGCGAACATGTCGGGATAATACTTTATTTTTGTTTGAGAGGAGAATCTTGTAGCAGGAGAAAGAAAACGCAACAGACGTGGGGGAGAGAGGGGAGCGTGACTGCAAGCCTTCCTCACCGATATACACAGGCGCGTTTTTAACAAGGACTCCTCTCCATTCTGCACCAGGTCCAGCCTGTGCTCTCTCGACACACTGCTGCCCGGGAGACCCCTCACAGCGGCAGAGGGAGCACACACTGGGGACGGGAGACAGGGATCTGACTGGAGGAGCTGGGGCTGAGGGGGGGGGGGTTCTCTGCCATTGTACTCTGAAAAGCAAGCGGCATGGTTTCTGTTCCACTGGCACAGTCATAGATAATAAATAAACCCACGTGAGAGATCAGAATGTTCCAATTCACAGGAGACTCTAAATTAAAGCCCCAGCTGTGGAGGGCTGGTTATGTCACATTGACGTGTCTGCGGAAATGATGGTTCTTGCATTTTTGCTGAACCCTGTTGTGTGTTTTTTGTCTTTCAGGAAGAAACTTTGAAGAATAAGACATTAAAGTCGTTTCTTTCAACAAAAGTCTTGTTGACCAAGTGCTCATCGGGACTCTAGAAACAGAAACTGATGCATCAGAGCTGGCGACCTCCCACCTACGTGTGCCATTTTGGACACACACCCCCACACACACACACCCCTTTCCGAACCCTTCACACGGACACTTGAGCCACAAGATTGTTACGCTGAGGGTCCACCATGTACATGCAGCCCGACAGTCGAAAAGGCATTCGGAGATCTGCGCAGCTGCATGTCCTCAGAGGGCTGCTGTGTTGTGACACTGCAGAACTGTTCTCCACACGCCCAGCCCTGCTTTGAGAAGCAGCTGCGGGAGACGGACTAGTGGTGAACATGCGGAGTTAAGTAAGCCATTCTAATTTTGGTCACACGCCCATCAAACCCTACCATCTACAAGCACTGGAATCATTCCAGCCCCCCCAGTGGTGCCACACAGCCAGCAGCCTGCGACAGACCCCTGCAGCATGAGAACACGCCCGGTGATGAGGTGACAAAGAGACAGCTGCATCAGACTGACCCGGAAGAAGATCTAACCATGTGGTTCCTGGCGCAGGGGTGAGAGGTCATGAGACGAAAAGGTGAAAAACTCAGCAGAACCTTCCCACCCACTCACTCCACGTGCCTCCTCCCTTCATCGCTTGACCCTTGTGTTTTTCGTTAACGTGAGTTTGCGATGTTTCCCTCTTCGGGACTTTGCACCCAAACCAAGCCTGGCTGTATCGATCTGCAGCCCATCCCTGTTTAAGTACATCAGCATTCCTTGGGTGCTAGCATGCAAGAGGGTGATGCAGCTATCTCTTTCAGCCAACAGAATCTGAGAACAAAGGAATTCCTGGACGTCTGTGCACAACAGCCTGTTTGGAGTGGCCAAAAGCAGGGCTACAGCATGTTACCAGTCCTGGGGAAAGGAAGTACAGCCGCAACTTAATTACAGGCCCTCTGCGGTGACTATCGTCTCACTGCCGGGCTTTTTACTGCAGAATACACAATTTAAATGCAGCGGCGGTGTAATTCCGAACTCCAGTGCAATGGGTTCACAGCTGGAGCTGTGGTTTTGGAAACCGGTGGGCAGTTTTAGCCCCGTGGGGTCCACACCAGCGAGGTGTTTGCCTCAGACTGTGCTGTGACCAGCGCTCCCGTGATTTCAAAAGGAAGCAAACATCAAATCCACCCCAGATTTACTGTAGTGTTCTCGGGACGCCCGCGTTCATGACAACGTTAATCGATATAAGCCCTGCAAATCGTTACATTCCCCACAGCATCCTGAAGTCGAGTACTATGCGCTGTAACGGTTTTGCAGAATGTTTCAATTTCCCTTCCCTCGACACCCAGCTCCCCATTGCTTTACTGAGACCAGACCTGGCACCCCAGGATATAGGCAGTAACTGCCCCCAGTGGAACTTGTGCCCCCCTCATTCCTGGGCAGATTCTGCACCAGGTCATCACTCTGAGTGGGTAGCCTTGCCCTCCCTCCCACCAGGCAAGCCTCTGGAGATGGGCATCGTTAGGGCTCTCAGTGGCCCACACGCTCAACCCTGTAGCCCCGAAAAGCAAAACCCAAGTGGCAAAAGTCTGCCCAGATCCTGAGCAATAACTGACACTTTTCGACTCTCTGTATAAAGTGCAAGGGTGAAACCGTTTAGTGAGAAATGACAGAAAAAGCCAGTGGAAGAGTTCTTTTTTTTTTACAGCTGTTTTAAAAATAATGCAGCAAACTAGGCAGGCTTTTCAAATATATGTCCGTTACACCTTAAATGTAAAGCGACAGAAAACACCAAGAAACTTTCAAGAGATCAAAAGGTTCTGGAATTTGGGCATGATGTCAACAGAAAAAATAACTTTTGGCTGAGAAGACACCCCCCCCCCACTAATTTACGCCACCGATGTGAATTTCTGCCCCCTCCCCGTATCAGTATGAAGCTTTGATTCCTTCCCGTTATCCCTCAATCACCCCGGCTCACGAAGTGATGTTGTCGCCCGCTCAGCTACTTATATTCTCGCCAAAGAACTGGAACTGGGGGTGGGAATGTGGTTCCCAAGTGTCTTATCCAGAAAAGCCATTCACTTGGAGGACATCTTGACGTCTGTGACCAAGATGTTGTAAGCGTGAGCCTGGATCATGCTGCGACCCATAATTCCCTCAGTGATTTTTAAGATCACGGGGTTTTGAGACACACATTTTCCACAGCTTTTCTGCTTCCTAATTCCCTACGCTCCGCAGATCTCTGAGATAACGGCTGTCTCTGATCATGGACGGGGCCGAGCTACCTGCTCCCTTGACCGGGACCTCGATACCTTTGAACACCTCAAGTTCCTCACCCTCCAGGGGGGTGCCCTTTCCACTGCTCACTGTGGCCCACATCCTGTCGGTCACGTCGGAGGATGTGGCACCACACAGCTGGTGTGGCACCACACAGGGAAGAGGAGCAGCTCCTGTGCTGGCCTGTTGGTGTGCCTACAGGCTCACAGGGATGTCAAGGAAAGGACACGTCGCCCCTCTAACTCCTGTACTAGCGGGTACCTGGCGGTCACTCACCAGTACCCCCTAAAAAGCCAAGCCCATTAAGCTGTGTGACTCTATCTCTGGACAAAGACTATTTTCCCCAAAGAATAGGCTGTGCAAACAAGACAATTCCCATCATGCTTTGTGTGACTTTTCACAAACACAAACCTCTAGAGACAGGGGGTTGTAGAGCCCCCCCTCCTCACATTCTGCCTTTCTTTGTTGTGGAATTAAAACCTGGCAGTTTGGTTTTTTGGTTTTTTGAAAAGAGAGAACGTGGGGAGAAAAAGACCAGTAATCCAAATGAGAACGAGATACGTGCGCTAATGATTTGTGAATCCTGATGCAAGTTTCTTGAAGTTTTCCTATAGACTTGAAGCTGTGGAACATGTTCTTATTTTTACGCAGGTTATTCAAGTGAGAAACCTGAATCAATCTATTCTTTTGCTGTACTTCATTAAACTCAAGACTATATTACATTCATATGCCTGTATTCAAACCCCTTTCCAGAAAGCTGTCAGGGGACAAAAAGGTTCAAAATAAAAACGACAACAAGGAAAAAAAATATAGATACATGACAAAATCAGCCACAAAGCATCAGAATGCTGCAGCTGACAGAACTGTAGGAAGCTCCATTACAGAAGAAAACCGGCCGCACCCCTGTGCCCTTTCTAGTGGGATTCTGGGAATGGGACACCTTGGCTCCCATACAGCCAAGCAAATGGAGTGTGTCTGGGAGACACTTTGGAGAAAGGCCACTGAAACTATGTGTTTTAAATACGGAGGATGAACAAGCAGCTTGGTAACCTGGGAGCGAACTGGCACTGCTCTCTCAGCTCCAGACCCCGCTGCAGTTTCCTGGGCCCAAGCCCGTATCCTCGGCCGTGCCGAGTCGTACCTTCCACCCCGGGCCGCGGCGGCACCCGACTACACTGCGCTGGCGCTGCCGGCCCGGTGCTCTGCCCCCCTGGGCCGCGCAGGTCGACCCGCTGCCTTGTCCCAGCCCACGCAAAGAACAGTAGTATTACCTCTAGTGCTCTAGTGCTTTACAGACGTCACGCCAACAACCGGCGCGCTACACACTAAACCAAACGGCTTTGGGGGAATGGCACTGCAGACACCTCTCCTCTAGTGGAATGGACCGTGTGCGCGTGGCATCTCGCACCGCGCACACCCTGCGTCGCCGCGTGGACCTCCTAACGTACACAGAGAGAGAGAACGATCATTGTGGGAATGATCCTCGAAGATGACTTACCCACCACGGAAGGAGTTGTTTTTTTTTGTGTATTTTTTTTTTTTCGTTTTTGCAATCACTAAAGGGAAGCAGACTGAACTAATTTGCACACACACACCCTGTTAGCTTTTGTTTTTGTGTTTTTTTTTTTTTAGTCTTGGAGGACAGTTATTGAGCTCTAGACTACTACAGAAAAAGGACAGAGAGGTTAAGTGCTGAAGGGAGGAGGGATTGAGGAGGAGGGGTGAGGGGGTACCGCACAGACTCTCCTGATGCACCCCCAGCCCTACAACCTCGCACCCTTGCCTCCACAACTTCCCATTGGTTGGTCTTATCGCTACTTTACATAAGAGGTGGGTGGGAGGGGAAAATCACGCTGTACAGTATAGGCAGTCCCAGGGGAGCCCCTCCCATCCCTTACCCCCTTGCTACTGGGCATCTCTACTGGTTGGCGCCTTCTCGGTTGCTGCTGTTGCTACTGCTGCTGCTGCACTGGCTCGAGCTGGCCACCAGGTGGTGCTGTGGCACAGTACCAGGGCAGGGATTGACGTAGTTGAAGAGAGTTGGCAGGAAGGGAAGTGGCTCCCCCTTGTCACCGGGCGCCATCATATTGAGAGCCATGGGCAGGGCAGCCAGATTGTAAGGGTAGGCCAGTAGCTGGGGCCCGTAGAGGAGCTGATAGGGGTCAGGGTAAAAGGGCAGTTTCCCCAAATCTCCATTGGACATCTTTCCCAGGGGCCCAAACTGAATGGCACTGGCTGGGTATGAAACCAGGATGTTGTCTTCTTGCTTCTTGCTGGAGCGGCAGCCTCCTGGTACGATGAGAGGTAAGGGAAACTCCTGGACTGGGTAGGCCACCTCCCGGTGGAAGTCCCGGGGAACTGGAGGCTCCTCCTCTGATTTGTGGGAGACCAGCACGCTTTGGGGGGCGCTCACTCCCGTCAAGCGAGACATGATGAGGCCCTGTCCTTCGTGTACCATGGCCTGGGTGGCTGGGCTGGGCCCCATGCGGGGCCTCAGGAGGTCCTGCACTGGGGGGTTGGTGGGAGACTTGAGCCTCCTCTGGGCGCTGTTGCCTGAAGTGACGAGGGGAGCCGTCTGCTCACGGGAGGGCACAGCATTGCTGCTGGCTTTAGCAGTGGTTTGGATGACGGGAAATTCAGGAGATACAGCGACAGCCACAGAGGCTGGGATCTCCTCCTTTTTGGATATCTTTACGATTCCCTTTGCCTCTGCCCCCTCTTTCCCGCCATGTGACACAATCATGCTGTCAGCAGCCTCCCTTTCCATGGAAGATGCCGTTAGCTCCTGCACAGGAGTGGCTTCTCTCGGCAAGGCTGCCACCCTCTGCTCTGCAGCTGGATGAGAGTCTCCTTTTCCCTTAGGCAGCATCACCAGCCCCTGTGTCGTAGACCCCTTTTGCTCTGGGCACTTTGGCGTGTCTCTAGGCTCAGGAGTGTTTCCGCCACTGTGTGATGTCATAGCTAGCTTGGGTGGGGTAGTGACCCCAGTCTGCAACATCCTTAGGTCCTGGGAACATTCATCTTGGTCTGTGCCTGATGATGCTTCCCGTATCAAAGTGCTCTGGTAAGCATACTTGCTTTTATCGGATAAATCCTGTCCAGCATTGCTTTGTGTGGTACCAGGTGCGGTTGCTGCTGATTTGCCTGGAGTTCTGATAGTGGGGAGCAAGCCCAAACTGACATTCAGACTGGTATGGTGGTCCTCAGATGGGCCATTGTAACGATGGCATGGCAAGGCAGTTACTCCACAGTCTTCTGTAGATGTGGTGTGATCTGCAGCATTTGTTTGTGCCTCTGGGCTCCTCTCAGTTTTGTACGAGTCAGCCGTGTCCAGCTTATGCAACTCTGGAGAGTCCTTGCCGTTCAGAACCAGAACACTTTGAGCACAGCCACTGGGAGCATCAGATCTGTTGGATTTCAGACTCTGGTCAGGTTGAACTGTCTTGCTACAGTGTGGGCTGGGGACTGATGCTTCCATGTCAAGATTTTTATCTTGGCCTTCCCGTGTCTCACCACATGAGAGTTCCGTTGTCTGGGTTGGCAGAGCTGTGTCAGTCCCGACCCCTAGTTTGAGTGAGCTGTCATATCGAGGTTCATAGCTGCCTGTGTTGCTCGGCTGCTGTGACTTTGAATAGTTAATAACAGGAGGGCACTCGTCTGTATCTTGTTTTGCTTCAGAATCCACTTCCGGGTCGGAGGCTGTTGCTTCAGACACCATTGGCGTGGCGGTCTCGGCAACATCACTCGCATCTGACCCATGACGTTTCATGTGCCTTCCCAGTGCAGCGGCTGTCTTGCAGACCTTTGAGCAGAAGGGGCAGGAGTGACGAACAGAAGGTCTCCTGCCAACCCGAGGAAGGCTGCTTTTCTCCAGTTCACTCAGCTCAGCCCCCACCTCTGCCTGTGGCAAAGTATTCTCTGTTTTGGTGTGGTGTGTGCCCTGATGCTCCTCTAAGAGACTCCGGGAGACGAATGTCTCCTGGCACAGCAAGCAGACGAACTCCATGAGGTGTGTCAGCTCATGCTTGTCCAGCTTTTTCACTGTGGAGAAGTGCCGGCCGCAGGTGCTGCACTCGAAGGCTTTACCCACTTGGTGATGCCGCTCGTGCCTCTTCATAGAGAGGTAGTCCTGGAAGGACTGGTTGCAGATCTGGCACCAGAGCTCTTCTTGTTCCTCTGGCTCTCCCTGTTCATCTTCCAGGGCTGAGGAGGCATCTGGCTGTCTCTCGTGGCCCTCATCCTGTGCACTCTGCTGCACCAGCCTCTCAGCTCTCTTTGTCAGGCGCAGGGAGCGCTTGTAGTGGAGCTTGCGTTGCCAGCTAGATTTCTTTACCTTCTGCACATGTATAGCCTTCCTCTTGGGCTTATAGGAGTAGTAAGGCCTCCATAGGTTGTCCTCTGCATCCTGGTCGCTCTCTTCCTCTCGGACCTCCCTTCGGAAATAGTACTCTCTGGCTTTGCATGGCTTGGGCATCTTCTCATTGTTGTCCTTACTCCGGTGGCGGTGGTGGTGATGGTGTTGTTGGTGATGATGGATTGGCTCTTCTATGGGAGAGTCAGCCTTTTTTGTTTTGGAGGGTGGAGGGCTCTTGTCCCTCATCAGATCAGTTTCTGAGATGCTCCTCTTCACAATGGCTTCCTCTCCAATGCGCACAGTGATCTGGCACAATGGGGCTCCACCTTTGGTCTCGGAGGACCCCCCAACACAAGCAGGCTTGGCCACATAGGTCACACTCTTGCCATGGGCTTTGCAGGTCTTCTGGGGCCTCTTCTCCTCATCTGCACTGGATGGTTGTCTGCCTTCCTCTTCTGCTGTGCTGTTCTCTGACTTGGAAGCTCTTTTTTGGGACTGAATGTACTCCCTGAGGACCTGCTTCTTGATGGGCCGGGCCACTTTGGGGGATGGTTGCTCACTGGCAGGCTCATTTTCTAGGGAACGGCGATTGCCAGAGTAAGCTTTGCTGCTTGACGAAGGAACCTGATTGCTGTGCATAATCACAGATGACACAGACGTTCCATGCACTATTACCGAAGGCTTTGGGTGACCATATGCAATGACAGTAGAGGCAGACGTTTCTGTACCACAGAAGCCTTTGGCATGGCCAGGCACCCTAAGGTTTGTTTCGTCTTCCTCAGCCTCTCCTTCCCTGTTTATCCCATGTACGGGCAAGGTAGGAGCAGAGGGTTGAGTTGTTTCCCCTCTTCCCAACCCACCAGGATCTAGAGGTGGTGCCAACAAGTAGTCTGCGGGATCTGCTTGCAGGCCCATAGTGTGTTTTTCATTGATGTACGACTGCAGCTGGTCAGAGCCCAGAGGGGCAGGCAGCCCGCCATCCATAGGTAAAGCCAGAGGAACAGAGGGTATGTTATCGGAAGAAAGCAGGATGTTTTCAGAGAGTGACTGGCTATAGGTCTTGTAAGGTCTCTTCTGGGACCTCATGGGTAGCAGGCGGTAGAGTTTGAGAGCATTTACCTTCTGCTTGTAACCCCCATTGGGTGTTTTCTCACTAGTTATGAGTCCAGGGTTGATGCCATGGAAGGACTTCTGGTGGGTTTTCAGGTTGTAGTAAGTGACAAAGGTCTCCCAGCAGAAAATGCACTGATAGCGTCTTTCTCCTGTGTGCCACACCTCGTGTTTGGTCCGATACTCAGCCAGGGCAAAGACCTTGTCGCAGTATCGGCATGGGTACTTCCTACGCCATGAGTGGACATTGGAGTGGCGCTTGAGACTGGAGAGGGTCATGTAGGAGCGCTCACAGACTGTGCAGAAGTAGATGATGTGCCCATCCACCACTTTCACAAAGTGGTCCTCCTCAGCCAGCAGGTCTGTCCTCTGGAAGCTTCGGTGACGTCCCAGGAAGCCCCTCCCTTTCTTGTGGATCCTGGCCGGTGCTGAACGACCCTGTGGTTCCTGTTCCTCTTCCTTCTCCCTTCTCTCCCCCACCTCTTCCTCCTCCTCCTTCTCCTCGTCCTCACAGTTCCCCTGGTCTTCCTCCTTGGCTGGGGCCACAAGGGCTGTTTGCTCCTGTTGTCGAGGCTGCCCGCAAAGTGCCTCATGGGACTGCAACCTCTTGTTGTGAATGAAGGCTTTCCCACAGTGGCGACAGCTCAGCGTCCTCCCTCCTCTGTGCAGCCTCATGTGGACGCTGAGGGACGAGGATAAACTGAAGGAGCGATGACATAGTCCACAGAAGAAACCTTTAGAAGCTGGAGGAGGGGAAAGAGATCCTGACACACTGTCCTTTGACTCACTTCTCTGCTTAACTGGTGCTGCATCATCCGTGCTTGATGCCACCCTGCCGTGTTTGTGACCCCTTCCCTTAAAAGCCACTGTACTCAGGTTGAACAGGATTTTGGCCGTTTCCGTGGTGGAACACTCAGAATCCATAGTCACTGGGAAGCTCTCAGCGGCATGGTTGTTTTCCGAGTCCTGTGCTGACCCACCACCGCCAGTCTCTGTGGGCCCAGCATCCATTGGATAGGCTGGCAAAGGTAAAGTGCTCTGTGGAGGAAGTTCATGGGGAAGGCTTTGGAACTGAACCACGGAGGAGGATTTGGGATCCTTCCTGGCTGGGGCCGTGAGGTCGATGGGAGATGGGGATCGTCCGGAGTCAAAATGTCGCTGCTTGTCCACTGCTGCCATCTTCCACTGGGAGTCCTCCAGGTTTACGCCGGAAGGCAAGGAGGGTGATGTGTGCCGCTCCCTGTTTCTGGGAAGCCTTGGAAGGCTGCAAGGGAAGTCGAGAGACGGTGAGCTGGCTGAACTGTCCGCCTTGTTCTTGGCCCGTCCGGGATCCCCAGGCAGGCTTGCCAAGAAAGGAATGCCTAGACTCTTCCCGGCTTCGGAAAGCTGCTTGGTGCCTCTGGAGCCCTGGAGGGAGACTCTGGAGGTGTAGATGTAATCCAGCAGGTCCGAGAGGATGCCAGACTTCAGGTGAGGCAGCTCCACTACCCTCTCGCTCAGCTGTGTAGCTCCAGGGGCAGCGGCAACAGCGGCAGCCCCGAGAGGCAGGGGCGAAGAGAGCAGCTCCCGGAAGTAAGGGCTGCAGGCGGCCAAGACGCTTTGGTGGGCCCGGAACTTGGCGTCGTCGCCAGCGATGACAGTGACGTCGCAGAAGAGGCCCCCGTCCAACCGCTGCTCGTTCAGGTGCGAGAGGAGGGTGCCCGCGTGGCTCGGGTCCGAAACCTCGGCCCTGGACACCATGACGTTGCGCCAAAACCTGCACCAGGAGAGACAGAGCAGATTAGGGGCGATCTTTTCTCATGCCTACTTTCCCTGCAGCATGGCTTCTTCTGCTGCTGACTTCTATCCCTCTTGCACTAATAATGGCAGTGAGTGAGGAATTACTCCATGTTTTATAGCTCAATCTGCTCAAGATTAGGATAGTAATGTACTGAATACAGAGATCGGTATAAAAAATTGGTTCCCATAGCCCCTGTGATAAACACTGTGTGGTCCTTTTGTTCTAAGCATCCCCACAACATGTAGGGTAAAACCTAAAGCATGAAATTGAGCTGGTTACTTATCTCTCATTAACTTAAATTGAAAGCAGTACTGGAGATGACGAAAAAATAACCATGTGTTTTGTAAGGAGAAAGTCGGAGTTAGATTTGCAGCAGGAACAAAATTTACTTTGTTAAGCATTCCTGTTCAATGAGAAAGCAAACAAGTGGCATGTCCAAAATCCTTTTTGAAGCCATTTCCTTCACCTAAGTGAAAAAGGCAAGGTGATTTAATCGAGCATTCCCTGAAGCAGATCCCGGAACTATACATAGCCAGGGATCTTAAAATAGGTGCTGTCTTCAGGAAAGGGAAAGTTTAAACATAACCTTTCATAGCCATCTGTCTTTAGTGTAAGCACTTGAAAATTAGTAGCATTAAAATGGTGCTCCCCACCAGAAAATAATCATTTCAAGAAACTGCAGTCAGTCATTGGAAAGCAGAACCAACATTTATTGCATTTGATTGGGAGACTTTTTAGATAATTTCCTTATGTGATGTGCTCCTGTTGCTGCTGTTTAAGTTCCAGAATCCTTTTTCATGGCTGCACACGCGATTTAAAGAAAACCTGAGAGTATAAATCCTAAGCAGAATTTAGAATCAACTACTGCCCTAGTAAAGGTTATACAACGTCGTTTCTTAAGGAAGATAAATTGTTTTGCCTAGGGGCAAACTATTCTACAAGTCTCCCAGCTGTCAACAATGTTCGGATTGTTACTTGCCATGCTAACTAGACGTTCCTACAGAAACAGTTCCTGAGAAGCCCTGTCAAAGGTGATTATAGCGTGGAAGTGCAATAAAGGGGACACAAATTAGCACTGCACACTGCTCTGATGCAGAATGAAAAGAAAATCCTACAAGCTTTTCAAAGAAGCAATTCTACAGGATTCCTGCCAAACTGAGATTAACAGTACTAAGACATCCACCTTACAGACATAAGATCCTTAGGACATAGAAAAGGATACAAAAGAGAGGGGGTCATTCATGCCTTTTAGCTGGCTGGTTGATAGTAGCTAATTAGAAAAGACTGTCATGAAATCTTTGTTGCCACACCAGACACCTTTGTCTTCCTATAGCACTACCAGCTCTGCCTGTATGCTTTCCTACTTCTGATGTAATTGGTATCTCTGGGAGTCACTGGCATGAAAGTGTGGGGGTGGTACAGATCAAAGGGCAGCAGGCTGTCAAGACCAATAGAGGGATGGCTAAGAGGTATCCAGATGCATTCTGGCAGCACAGATTCTTGCACATCTGCACAAATCTTAACAGGTATCACTATGATGCACGTTCTCCTGCGTGATCTCACTATTCTCCACCTGCAGAGTCCGTGTAGTCTGATGCAGTTCTAAATAGTTCTTGCCATAGACAGGCTGCAGCTAGTTGAGAGAAGAAGAGGTCAATGTACTGATCTGACCGTCCTAACTTTTGTTTTAAACCAGCATGGTCCCAACAACCACAAGCCTGACAATCACTGTTAAGCAAACACTAAAAGCAATGCCAGTGCTTTTGTTAAGTGCTGCCATTTGCTTCTCCGATGCTTAGTAAGATCAGAAAAAAGGTTGTTTTGCTTGTAGCTGCTGTGCAATGTCCAGCAGCCAAGTCCAGGAAGCTGGCCCAGACCTAAATTTGATGTTAAGCAAATTTTGGAGGGTGACTGATAAAGGTTTTTTACTGGTGCAACAAACAAATCTATAGCATTTTTAAAGCAGCATGAAAAATGGTGGGCATTTATAATGACGACCTGGGGGGATACTGGAGGAGTAATATAGCCCTCACTGACATCACTGAGAGATCACAGCAGAATGAGCACTGACTGGAGGAGAGAC